TGTATACAGTGAATTAATCCACATTGTATCATATTGCAGATTAATATATTTTTCTTAAAAAAAAACAATGTTTGTTTCAACATTTGTACATAATTCAGTTTGTTTGATATCATGTTATTTTACTAGAACTCCTCTTAATATCACATTCTCTGACAAATTACACAAAACCTGTCTATATGATGAAGTTAGCAGCAGCTTTATTAATTATATATTTACCCTCGAGACAAAAGAAAGTGAACAATACAGGTATATATACAATAGGACATAAAACACAAACAAACCAAACAATGTTTACAGGTAACACCCCTCTCTATAGCGAGAACACCCCTCTCTATAGGGAGAACACCCCTCTCCCCTCTCTATAGGGAGAACACCCCTCTCTATAGGGAGAACACTCCACTCTATAGGGAGAACACCCCTCTCTATAGGGAGAACACCCCTCGCTATAGGGAGAACACTCCACTCTATAGGGAGAACACCCCTCGCTATAGGGAGAACACCCCTCCTCTATAGGGAGAACACCCCTCTCTATAGGGAGAACACCCCTCTCTATAGGGAGAACACCCCTCTCTATAGGGAGAACACCCCTCTCTATAGGGAGAACACCCCTCTCTATAGGGAGAACACCCCTCTCTATAGGGAGAACACCCCTCTCTATAGGGAGAACACCCCTCTCTATAGGGAGAACACCCCTCTCTATAGGGAGAACACCCCTCTCTATAGGGAGAACACCCCTCTCTATAGGGAGAACACCCCTCTCTATAGGGAGAACACCCCTCTCTATAGGGAGAACACCCCTCTCTATAGGGAGAACACCCCTCTCTATAGGGAGAACACCCCTCTCTATAGGGAGAACACCCCTCTCTATAGGGAGAACACCCCTCTCTATAGGGAGAACACCCCTCTCTATAGGGAGAACACCCCTCTCTATAGGGAGAACACCCCTCTCTATAGGGAGAACACCCCTCTCTATAGGGAGAACACCCCTCTCTATAGGGAGAACACCCCTCTCTATAGGGAGAACACCCCTCTCTATAGGGAGAACACCCCTCTCTATAGGGAGAACACCCCTCTCTATAGGGAGAACACCCCTCTCTATAGGGAGAACACCCCTCTCTATAGGGAGAACACCCCTCTCTATAGGGAGAACACCCCTCTCTATAGGGAGAACACCCCTCTCTATAGGGAGAACACCCCTCTCTATAGGGAGAACACCCCTCTCTATAGGGAGAACACCCCTCTCTATAGGGAGAACACCCCTCTCTATAGGGAGAACACCCCTCTCTATAGGGAGAACACCCCTCTCTATAGGGAGAACACCCCTCTCTATAGGGAGAACACCCCTCTCTATAGGGAGAACACCCCTCTCTATAGGGAGAACACCCCTCTCTATAGGGAGAACACCCCTCTCTATAGGGAGAACACCCCTCTCTATAGGGAGAACACCCCTCTCTATAGGGAGAACACCCCTCTCTATAGGGAGAACACCCCTCTCTATAGGGAGAACACCCCTCTCTATAGGGAGAACACCCCTCTCTATAGGGAGAACACCCCTCTCTATAGGGAGAACACCCCTCTCTATAGGGAGAACACCCCTCTCTATAGGGAGAACACCCCTCTCTATAGGGAGAACACCCCTCTCTATAGGGAGAACACCCCTCTCTATAGGGAGAACACCCCTCTCTATAGGGAGAACACCCCTCTCTATAGGGAGAACACCCCTCTCTATAGGGAGAACACCCCTCTCTATAGGGAGAACACCCCTCGCTATAGGGAGAACACCCCTCTCTATAGGGAGAACACCCCTCTCTATAGGGAGAAATGTAGTGTATGTATTATATCATTGATGAGCAAGTAACTATCTATACTTTAATACATTGAGCTGAACTAAATATAAATCATTAACACTGTGTATTACCCCTGTTTTTAGGATGAAATGAGATACATTCTGTACATGCACTAGCATTCAGATAATGTATTATACATAAACCTTATGCTATTTGTAGAATTTATACAATGTGTTACCCTTGAACTTGGTTGAATATAATGTACCGGGTATTACCCTGTATTGGAGTGAACGTGATACTAGATCAATATAATGTACTGAGGTATTACCCTGTATTGGAGGGAACGTGATACTAGATCAATATAATGTACCGGGGTATTACCTTGTATCGGAGTGAACGTGATACTAGATCAATATAATGTACCGGGGAATTACCTTATATTGGAGTGAACGTGATACTAGATCAATATAATGTACCGGGGTATTACCCTGTATTGGAGTGAACGTGATACTAGATCAATATAATGTACCGGGGATTACCCTGTATTGGAGTGAACGTGATACTAGATCAATATCATGTACTGAGGTATTACCCTGTATTGGAGTGAACGTAATACTAGATCAATATAATGTACCGGGGTATTACCTTGTATCGGAGTGAACGTGATACTAGATCAATATAATGTACCGGGTATTACCTTGTATTGGAGTGAATGTGATACTAGATCAATATAATGTACCGGGTATTACCTTGTATTAGAGTGAACGTGATACTAGATCAATATAATGTACTGGGTATTACCCTGTATTGGAGTGAACGTGATACTAGATCAATATAATGTACCAGGTATTACCCTGTATTGGAGTGAACTTGATACTAGATCAATATAATGTACCGGGTATTACCTTGTATTGGATTGAACGTGATACTAGATCTATATAATGTACCAGGTATTACCCTGTATTGGAGTGAACTTGATACTAGATCAATATAATGTACCGGGTATTACCTTGTATTAGAGTGAACGTGATACTAGATCAATATAATGTACCGGGCTATTACCTTGTATTGGAGTGAACGTGATACTAGATCAATATAATGTACCGGGGTATTACCTTGTATTGGAGTGAACGTGATACTAGATCAATATAATGTACCGGGGAATTACCTTATATTGGAGTGAACGTGATACTAGATCAATATAATGTACCGGGGTATTACCTTGTATCGGAGTGAACGTGATACTAGATCAATATAATGTACCGGGGAATTACCTTATATTGGAGTCAACGTGATACTAGATCAATATAATGTACCGGTGTATTACCCTGTATTGGAGTGAACGTGGTACTAGATCAATATAATGTACCGGGGTATTTCCCTGTATTGGAGTGAACGTGATACTAGATTAATATAATGTACCGGGGTATTACCTTGTATCGGAGTGAACGTGATACTAGATCAATATAATTTACCAGGGTATTACCCTGTATTGGAGTGAACGTGATACTAGATCAATATAATGTCCATCAAATACGGCAGATACTGTTCATAAATCACCAGCTAAGACTTATCACATACAGCATTCCTACATACTGTGTTATTGACAAATATACATGTACAGAGGAATGTTTAACCATAAAAAAAATGTTACTTATATAAAGCATTCCCTATGGTTTATGGGCCGGGTTTAACACAGGTCAAATCCAGCGATTGTCGCTCACACAACTGTTTCATCCTGATAGAACATCGATATAGATAAAAGTAACGTATCGCAGATTTATCGTTTGCTGAAGTACGGCGATGTCAATTGGTGATACATACAGTGCTACAGCTCCTGAACAAAGCAGAAGTTCACTCGATTTTATGTACTCTATAATGCCACGTACTGTGATGTGAATAAATGATTGATGTTACTTACAATCTCCTACATCAATCATGTCAAGGTTCAGTGAACACAAAATCATCCTTTAATACACACTACATAATAAAATCATCCCTTTTTTATCTGAAAAATAAAGAGCTGATTTAAATGTTACAGTGTTCCTGTAATAATTTTTAAAAAGTCTGGATGTCAATTAAAATCTACGTGTAGCATAGCTCTCAGCTGGGATATAGCCCAAGATCTAAACTCCATTTTGCACTACATATTTATATCTAAGTATTGGATGTTTATTTGCTAGCTTGCATGCTAACAATTCTTCAAGAAATGAAAAATTACAGACAAACTGGCATTATATAATATTGAGATTTTAGATGTTACTTGAGTGGTCAGTGACATGGAATGTGAGGCTCCACAGCTCTGACCTATGATGTTTGTGAATTTAAAAAATTTCCTCAAGCTTACGGAACTGGACCTGTCTCCCATCAAAAATGACATCTTACATAACGAGGAATTATATATAAATTCGTTTTTTTTTTAAACAGTTATGAAACAAGTTTATCCAATTTATACATATGTATCAACCTGTTACTCTTGTTGGCCTGGATGTCTTAACTCATTCACCCCTGAAATTTCATAATGAACAATTCCAACCTTTGAATTGGAAGAGTTCAAATGTGTCTTCAGGGGTAAATGAGTTAATGTAGGGTAGGAAACTGGAGTATCAGGAGAAATCTAATCATTTGATCGTGCAGGGTTAATTGACCGAATATTACCTTTTACATCTGATTACGGAGTTGAATCCCAGGGCCCACTTGTATAAAACATCTCAACTCTTGAGATTTCATCAAGTCCAAGATTTCCCATAGACAATACATTGCTTGAGATTTTCCTTAACTTTGAGATGTTTTATACAAGTGGGCCCAGCTGTCTAGGTGAAGACAAAAGCGCTATCCACAGCGCCACCCAACATCAGCATAAAGCGGAATCATATTTGTAGTGTATAATGGCTGATATGTTACCCCTGTGAGAAGGAGATGTTATTCCTACAGTCACCTCTAGACTGTTTGACAGCCTTGATTTGGCCATGAATTTTAAAATGTTTGACTCTATTGGGCATCAAGTTAGAATCCTCAAATATTCTGTGTTATTAGTGTATTTCTGTAATATAAAAAATACGGAAAAAATATGGATTTCCTTGTACACTATGGAGACTAAATTAAAGTGCTTCGCAAGGAGGCACCCTCCTCAAATAACCACAAATGTCACAGCAGACGTTATTTATGTTGATTGTGATGCATGTTTATATATTATTGATGGTCTATTTTCAGCGTCCTGCAATGCGATAGCCCAGGTAACGGATGTACTCATTGATCTGAGTACTTACAACACTTCAGAGGGCACTGTCGTCTCCATTGGGTGCAAACGTTTCGGCCACCGTGTGGTTGGTCCACAAAATGTCACTTGTCTGAACACCAGTAACTGGAGTGATACAACTCAACCAAAATGTGCCTGTGAGTATTTCAAATCTAGTCCAACAAGACAGGACCAACCTCCAATTTGTCAGTCTGTCCTTGTCAAATTGGTCATGAAAAGAAATATTTCAAAACAAAGCTAAAATAAAAATATTCTTAAGCCATGACTCTCTATCCAGCAAAATCTCAAATTACCAGTAAGACTGATGACTATTTTATGAAGATGATTTAACAATTAAGTAACCATAATTCATGTTTGAAATATACAATTTGCTTATTGAATAAGGGGCTTACCAGGATTTTCATTAAATAGAGTTTCATACCTGCCCTAACCCCACACCCAGGACATGCCAAAATCATTAGAAATGATAGTTGTTATTCTCTGGTAGCGTTCAGTGTTTCCGATATTTGCATCACCTAGTTCACCCATTGTCAGTAAAATGTAAATGGGTGAAATACTGTGCTGGGTGCCTTCTCCAGGTTTGCCTTTCATTGAGGTAGCACTCTAAATTTGGCATCAGGTCTTTGCTATTGCAAAGAGGCAAATACATGAGCATACCACATCCAGCACACAGGAATACACTATACACAGTAATACACTATACACAAGAATACACTCTACAGAGTAATACACTATACACAGTAATACACTCTACACAGGAATACACTCTACACAGTAATACACTATACACAGTAATACACTATACACAGGAATACACTATACACAGTAATACACTATACACAGTAATACATGATACACAGTAATACAATATACACAATAATACACCCTACACAGTAATACACCCTACACAGTAATACACTCTACACAGTAATACACTATACACAGTAATACACTATATACAGTAATACACTATACACAGTAATACACTCTTCACAGTAATACAATATACACAGTAATACACCCTACACAGTAACACACTCTACACAGTAATACACTCTACACAGTAATACACTATACACAGTAATACACTCTACACAGGAATACACTTTACACAGTAATACACTATACACAGTAAATACACTATACACAGTAATACACTCTACACAGGAATACACTATACACAGTAACACACTCTACACAGTAATACACTCTACACAGTAATACACTATACACAGTAATACACTATACACAGGAATACACTTTACACAGTAATACACTATACACAGTAAATACACTATACACAGTAATACACTCTACACAGGAATACACTATACACAGTAATACACTATACACAGTAATACACTATACACAGTAATACACCACACAAGGAGGAACATCCTTTAACTAGCTGATGATTGGATGGGAAACCCTATAAACAAATTCACAGGAGTTCCTAAATCTTGTATACATAGTCTTATGTGGAAGAGGTTTTAAATTCATCCTAATGGAAACCATATATATAAAGCATGTACAAATGTACACAAATAGAAGGGGGTCACGGTGGCCGAGTGGTTAAGGCATCTGACCGTCTACGATCACTAGCCTCCGCCACTTGGTCGCGGTGGCCGAGTGGTTAAGGTGTCTGACCGTCTATGATCACTAGCCTCCGCCACTGGGTCATGGTGGCCGAGTGGTTAAGGCGTCTGACCATCTACGATCAATAAGCCCTCCACCACTGGGTCGCGGTGGCCGAGTGGTTAAGGCGTCTGACCGTCTATGATCACTAGCCTCCGCCACTGGGTCATGGTGGCCGAGTGGTTAAGGCGTCTGTCCATCTACGATCAATAAGCCCTCCACCACTGGGTCGCAGTGGCCGAGTGGTTAAGGTGTCTGACCGACTATGATCACTAGCCTCCGCCACTGGGTTGCGGTGGCCGAGTGGTTAAGGCATCTGACCGTCTACGATCAATAAGCCCTCCACCACGGGGTCACGGTGGCCGAGTGGTTAAGGCATCTGATTGTCTTTGATCACTAGCCTCCGCCACTGGGTCGTGGTGGCCGAGTGGTTAAGGCGTCTGACCGTCTACGATCAATAAGCGCTTCACCTTTGGGTCGCGGTGGCCGAGTGGTTAAGGCGTCTGACCGTCTACGATCAATAAGCACTCCACCACTGGGTCACGGTGGCCGAGGGGTTAAGGCGTCTGACCGTCTATGATCACTAGCCCCCGCCACTGGGTTGCGGTGGCCGAGTGGTTAAGGCATCTGACCGTCTACGATCAATAAGCCATCCACCACTGGGTCGCGGTGGCCGAGTGTTTAAGGCGTCTGACCGTCTACGATCAATAAGCACTCCACCACTGGGTCACGGTGGCCGAGGGGTTAAGGCGTCTGACCGTCTACGATCAATAAGCACTCCACCACTGGGTCACGGTGGCCGAGGGGTTAAGGCGTCTGACCGTCTATGATCACTAGCCTCCGCCACTGGGTCAAGGTGGCCGAGTGGTTAAGACTTCTGACCGTCTAAGATCACTAGCCCTCCGCCACTGGGTTGCGGTGGATGAGTGGTTAAGGTGTCTGACAGTCTACGATCACTAGTCCTCCGCCACTGGGTTGCGGTGGCCGTGTGGTTAAGGCTTCTGACCGTCTTCGATCAATAAGCCCTCAACAACTGAGTCGCTGTGACCAAGTGGTTAAGGCGTCTGACCGTCTACGATCAATAAGCCCTCCACCACTGGGTCCCGGTGGCCGAGTGGTTAAGGCGTCTGACCGTCTACGATCAATAAGCCCTCAACAACTGAGTCGCGGTGACCGAGTGGTTAAGGCGTCTGACCGTCTTTGATCACTAGCCTCCGCCACTGGGTCGCGGTGGCCGAGTGGTTAAGGCGTCTGACCGTCTACGATCAATAAGCCCTCCACCACTGGGTCGCGGTGGCCGAGTGGTTAAGGCTTCTGACCGTCTACGATCACTAGCCTCCGCCACTGGGTCGCGGTGGCCGAGTGGTTAAGGTGTCTTACCGTCTATGATCACTATAGCCCTCCACCACTGGTTCGCGGGTTTCAAGACCTATGTTGTACTGGCTGCATGCATGCCAGTGGTTTACCACCGGGTACTTTGGTTAAATTCCTTCATCAATACCTGGCACGTCCTTAAATGAACGTAGCTGTTAATAGGATGTTAAACACACACAAAAAATTTGTTTTTCAGGGACAGGTGACCTAAATACCTATGAGAAGTTGGTTATAGGGGTGGCTGCATCATGTATTATACTGCTACTTATCTGTCTCGTCTTGATTATCTCCCTTGTAATATATCGCCACAGCCGTCGACGACACAAGTAAGTAAACAGTCTCAACAATAAACTATCATTTATGACCTTATCGTCAAGGTCGCTACTGTGTGGTAGTCATGGTACAGGGGTAGGTAATAATGACTGATTACAGTGACCTTTGACCTATATTATAAAGGTCACTTCTTAAGGTCATCGTAGAGAGTTGCTACAATGTCATTATGATGTCACATTGACTATAATGTAAAATCTAACGGACACTTATACCTAGATGTTTTAATACTCTCGCTTTCTCTAGACTCTTGCTCTTGAGACTTGCCAGGAAAGAGTCTGGTCCAGTAGTGTATTTCAGTTTTAATTTTTTTATATCAAATTGCGGCTTACTGAAAAATCATTATCGTTTCTCATTCAGGGGATATATAGTATGTTGTTTTTATTGGCTATACTGGCTATTAGAACATTAAATTTGGTTTGAACTCAAGACCGACAGATTTTTTCATTTATTATCTCCCTTGTTCTACACATCTAGGGAGGACTCTAAGAAACCAATGTAAGAGGTTTATGATCTGTTATACACAATGGAACCTCAAATCAAAATTAAGATACTGATAGTTCAGAAAATGTGTGTTCCAGACACCGATATTTCAAAATAATTTATATCAGTATACAGATGTAGTTATATCTTGTGTAATTCATCAGAATTTTTTGTGGAAATATTTTTGGAAATTAATGAGGTTCCACTGTAGTTAAGTAATGTTGCACTTGCTTAAAATTAAGGAAATTGTAGCCCACTGCAGAGCTCACTAAAGGTGTAGGGTTATGCTGTCAAATATGGCTTCAAGCATTGTTGGGATATACAGATAGACTGTAAATCATGTAGCGTTTTTTAAATAACTTGTTCCCCCTTGAAAAAACACCAAGTGTTTAATATTGCTGAATTTAGCAATTTTGAAATACCTCATCTACTGAGTTTTAGTCCCAGCTTTGCATGCATTGGGATAATAGATATATCATCGATATGATAAATGAAATTCATTCTCATTAAAAAATTAAAAAAACATCGGTTTCTGTACTAAAAATTTGGAAAATAAATATTTTTGAATTTAAAGGAAACATCCTTTTTTTTCTTGAAGGGATTAAGTTTGAATGTGGTAAATATTGGACTTTTTGAAGGAGTTTTTGTTTAGTGATAGCATTTTAAATGGAATTCCACAAATTCCAACATAATATGTGTAATGTATATTTTACTGGTTTAAATAAGAGTCAAAATAAATATTAAAGGTAGATTTTTTTTAAAACAATTCTTCAATTTTATGCATTGTTTTAAGAAAAATGATCTTTTGAAATGATATATGTATAAATTAAATGTCGATACTGCAGCTTTCTAATGGGTTAACAAGGGTTCATAAATATTGACGGAAGGCAAACACGCTCTAAACTTGCTAATAATGATCCTAGTGTTTGGTGGTGGTAGAGTTTTACATTAACATCTTAATGTATTTAGCTACTAGTCTCTAACAGAGGTTTTTAACACTAAGTATATGCTACCATATTATACCTGAAAGTGATATGTGGATGACATAATTAAAATTTAAGGATCCCTGGCCCACTGCACTATTGGTTTTTTCTATAAATTCTAATCTCTCCTTAATTTCCGTTTGGATATAACTGTAGACATGTTGGGCCAAGACAATTCTGTTGACCATGTTGCTCAATCCGTAAGAGCAATGGTATACCAATCTGTAGTCAAGGGTTCGAATCCCAGTATAGGCCTGCTGAATTTGTACACCCAAAACACCAACTTGTTTATATTCTGTTAATACCATCTTTATTATTTCCCATAAAAGTCTGGTAAGCTAATAGTTCCCTTTTCCCAAAGGCTATAGTTTCAGTTTTTTGCTGTATCATGGGGATCCTTAATTAAAATAAATATATAGAGATGGTGACAATTAGGCCAAGTGTGGATCTTACTCTCCATCTCTTACTGATTTTTGTGGTGTTAATTTGCTTGTTTGACTGTTATGAATATCATCATCAAACTGGAGACTGACAAGTGCTTTGTAGAACTTCAGCCAGAATTTGATTGTAGCATGTCATTATATATATACAAGGTATTCATCACGGCTGACCACTGTCTTTTCTATAGACCAGGGCCCGTAGTCATGAAACCATTATCATGCCCAAGCATGGATTTTGTGCTCAAGCCTAATTTCATGTTAGTTTTATAGATTAACTTACATTATTCACCCCTGAGATTTCATAATGAGCGTTTCCAGCCTTTGAATTGGAAGGGTTCAAACGTGTCTTCAGGGGTGACCAACCTTTGAATTGGAATGGTTCAAACGTGTCTTCAGGGTTGAATGAGTTATCTTACTTTGTCATGATTAAAAAAAAAATGAAAATCTCAATACTGTTTTCAATATTTACATTTGACTTTATGATTGTGTTACATGATTTAAGTGAGTTACAATAAAGTTGGTTTGAGCACAGAGTCCATGCTTAAGCATTAGAATAGTTTCATGAATACGGACCCTGTTTTCTTGTTACTTTAGTAGTTATCGTGTGTAGCACTTTTTATGCTAATTAAAAATGGCTAAATTACGGTAACCGCTAAACATAAAGCCACTGTTATCCTGCATGGTATAGATGTAGAACTAAATTCAAATTTTATTGCATGTAACATTCAGATTCAGAATTCACTCAAAACGTGTCACCAAATTGTGACTGATTTGCAGAATTAATTTGAAAATATTCAACTATACCAGGTGTAATTTTGCGAAGTAATAGAATTCATTCAAAAATTGTTCAATGATCACACTTAATTTTAACATTTTCACCCCTATGTAACTTGAGTAGACTCTACCATGCATTGATCTGGATGTGTCAATTATGGTCTATTGTGGTGAAGAGGTTAAAATCGTCATGGATGTGCAGAATGTGTTGATAAAGTTTGTTTCAATACTTCAGGCTTAAGTTTGTTTGGACTAATTGAATTTAACTCTTCCATTCCTAGTCAAGAAAACCCTTCAACCTTGGCTTGAAAGTCAAATTTCAGAAACTGATATCATTGAAGAACCTGCATGCTCTTATTTTTTCTTGTTATTTTTTTTCACCAAACTGCTGAAATGCTCTTTAATAACAACAAACCATTTTCAGAACTAACTAAATAACTCCTCTAATTAAGAACAATTCTGAGATTATTTCTGATATAAACATCTATCAGAAATTCAAGAGGCTAGACTTCTCTCCATCTGCCACTATTTTGCATGTATTTCTCTCTATATTAACCCAACAATTTATTTCAGCGAAAAGGATTCCGATTCGGACAGCGGTCGGTTTCCGCCTTACGCAATTAACCACCATGTAGAGCATGCTTATTATCCAGCTCCCATGGTCCAGCGGGGCAGTGGGCCGTACAAACACCGGGTATCACGTGACAGGGCCCCCTACAGGGCAAATAAGTCACGTCACAGGTCAGTTAGAACAATAGAAAAGTCAAGGTCATATAAGAAAAGTCAAGGTCATATATATATTTTTATAGTTTGTAATTCTTTTGAAATACAAATTCACAATAAGTTTTTAGTTCGGACCAGGTGCCATAGCCCAGCGTCCGTCGTGCATCAACTTTTCCTAAAAATCACTACTAGTCATGAACGACTGTGCAGATTTTGACCTCATTTGGTCAGAAGCATCCATGGGGATAGGGTAACAAATTTGTATAAATGGTGGGTCTGGCCCCCTGGGGGCTGAGGAACAGGGCCCAATAGGGGAAATATTGCAAATTCTTTAAAATCCTTCTTATTCTGTAGGAATGAACGGATCTGTTCCATATTTGGTCTGAAGCATCCTTAGGTGAAGGAAAACCCATGTTGTATAATGGTGGGTCTGCCTTTAAAACCTTTAAAATCCTTCTCCTACCATAGAGAAGAAGGGCCCATAAGGGGAAATAGAGGTAAAACCTTTGAAATCCTTCTCCTACAATAGCGATTCAAGATTTTATCCCAATGTTGTCTCCATCAAGTTGTATAGTAGTGCCTGGTACTATTAGGGTGTATTCATTAAAACATGATGACCACCAGGCTGCCATTTTGGATTTTGTAATTTGAAGTTTGTTCTCGCTATATCTCCAGAAATACTGGATGGATCTTTCTGAAATTTCATATGTACATACTGAGTACCTACTAAGGAGTGCTATATCTTTACTTCATATATCATACTTTAAACACATATCCAGGTGAGCGATACAGGCCCTCTAGGCCTCTTGTTCTTTTCTTTCCTTTACAAGACCTTTATCATTTTAGTTTTACTAACAATGTGCATTTACATTTTAATTTTTTTCACACCAGAGAAATTGTTGGTTCAAATGTATTTTCAACATTTGTTACATTGTAAAATGTCAAATGTTATGAATGTTTGAAAATAAGAAGAATTATACTGTTTTATGTGAACCACAGTCTGTAATAAGGAACATTTATAGCTAAAAATAATATAAAATGAATGACATCTTCATATGTTAAAATTTGGAAAATGTGTGTATTATAAATGTGTTCACTGTAATTGTTAAATATTGAATTTGTTTTTTCATTTGATTTGAAATGTTTATATACAGGATATGTTTAAAGTTACACACTTGTCAAGTTTTCAAAACTCCAAAGCAGGTGAAGGCCATTAAAAATGCAGGTCATAACCAATCAAATTGCAGGTCACTATACCGTCATTAGGTCATATGACATAACCAATCAAATTGCAGGTCACTAGTACTGCCGATAGGTTGTAACCAATCAAAAACACTATCGTTGCCGGTATGTGTTCTGTATAACTTCCATTCCCATACAATATACCGATCCAGATACAGTGGGGATGAAATTTAACACATGTACTACACAAGTTATGTATTGATACAAAAGTTCCAACAGATATGTTACTGTGAAAAAAGGATGGATTATTTATCAGCATGTGCACTCTCCTGAACAAGCAGCATGTGTGGTTTTTTTAATTAACAGTGGGGAGATTTAACTCATTCTACCCAGAAATTTCATAATGAACTATTCCAACCTTTGAATTTGAAGAGTTCCACTGTGTCTTCAGGGGTGAATAAGTTAAAACGGGCATTGCATGTTTGGTTTGGTCCAACTAATCTGGTGGTGGTATATAATTCCTTTGCAAAACTGTGTGGTTGAAATTTGAAATTTGAGGTCATAAAATACATACCTTTAAATTATTGGTAAATTTTTAAATTTTCAAAGGTCACTGGAAAATAAGACCTTTGGTGTGATATGGTAAAGGGTGGGGTGGTCTTCAATTAGTTCAACTCAGGAGGACTTTTTAATCAGTAAAAAACTTCAAAATTGTAATAAAACTTCAATATCAGTATATTTATTGTGAGTTGCGACACAAATAAAGTCAATGTGTTAATTCCTGTAAAAGATCAACATATTGACAAATGATTTAATACATTATAGTGTTTTCTGGGAATGTTTTTAACACTAAGCGGTTATTCAAAATAGTATATAAAGGGAGGTAATTTGCGGATAAATTTCTACCTGTTGTCTCCCTTTGAACAGCTATTACTACTTGTGAAATTTTAGTTACCAGGCCCCGTTCTCACAAAGCTTCCTTAACGAATGTGTTAAGGAAGAAGTGTGCAACTACAAAGTGTACTGGTAATAATAATCATAAAAAAAAATATTTCAATTGCCAGAAATTTCCATTTCTTATCATGACAAATAATTAAAATCAGAAGCAAAACCCTTTAAATGATGTATCATTTGGTTGATTGATATGATCAGAATATCTTCGTGCTTTGTTTAATTTTTTAACTTTCAGTTTTTATTTTGATTATGGTAAAAAAATGTATAATTTTCTAATAAAAACGAATAATTTAAAACAAACAATCAAGCAGAATAAAATTATGATAAAACTATTTTGATACTTATTTCATTATAACTTTTCTCAGGACTGGCTATTTTCTAAATGAGGCTGATTAATATTTTGCCATTTAAAAATGTTTTAACTTCTTTTAACTTTTTCACCTATTTGATTGTTACAGAGATACAGAATTGGACAACAACCAATATTATTATCAGAATGAGAGAAATGGTCACATCCAAAATGGTGCCCCGCTATCAGATTACGCCAGAGGCAATTATCACAATCAGGCGTACGATAATAGGGATCCTGATCATCGCTATGTAACGGAGATAACTACCAATCCTTCAAATCAGGAGGCATACAGATGGTAAGGTCAAGGTCATTTGTTTTGGAAGAACATTAGGTCAAGGTTGTTTGGGTTAGTTAATATAAGTTCAAACACAGGTCCAAGTCATCTGTTCTGGCTCAAGATCATGAATTCCAATGAAAAACCTGTCTTGATAGATTACTTCTGAATTTTCCGGAATTTTTATTTTTGTCCCTTAAACATTCTGGAAACTTGTTTTTGTCAGCAATCAAATTGTTCTAACAATATTTATCACTGTAGTTTATAAACAAAATATTCCATTATAATTTCTTCTATAAAATATAATTCTCTTAAACTGATACAAAACCAAAATTTTGCTTTCTCGCTTTACCTGTATCATCATTTGATTGTTCACAGGAATGGCCATATACCACGCCCTAAGTTGGGCCCGGAGGGACGAGAGCCATTCTAGACCATCAGTCTGAATTAGCAAGAGATGTAACTGTGTCCTCCATGATCACGTATTACCTGTCTACGCAATCCTCGTCCTAACTTGACCCAGTGGACCGGTTCTTAGTGTTAAACAGTGCCATGGATGTCAGAAATGTTGAGAACAGTCTGCTAGTCAAGTGCAATGGTCGCTGTTGAAATATGAATTCAGTGTAAAAGGATGTTTTCAGTTTGGCATGCTGCAAATAATAATGACATCTACCATTTATTTCACAATCATTAATTTAAAAAATTTGCTTAGAGTCATGTAAGGATGTTAAATACCATCTAGTTTTTAAGGGTAACATTTTATAGAATTCCCTTTCTTGCAATGTTTTTAAATATATGTTTCGCTGCTTAAAGCATATTTCATGAAATTCTCATTTTCAGAGGTAAGAAATATTTGCAGATTATCCTGAAAATAGCAAATGCAAGAAACATGTAAAAGAAAATGTTGAGAAATAGCCATTCATTCGTACATATACATGTACAATCTGTTGTCTGCTTAAGGATTTAGATATATATAAAATAAAAATCGCAGGCAAATTCTTCTTGAATGTTGCTATGCAAAACATAATGAATTTCAGTGTATAATAATAATAATCATATCCATTTCTCAAGGCACTTTTGTAATCGTGCTTAAAACAACATATTGTGAGGACTTTAATGAAGTGGTTGTAACAATACCTTATCGTACACAGTTGTATGCTTAAAGCTACCAGCACGGTATCATCATTATCACCATCTGCCATCACACAATTCTGTCTATGTATCCGTCTGATTTTTTTTAAATGTGAGAGTGATAAAATGAGGCATTATTTGAGAAAGTCTGCTGCATATTCAATTAGTAAATATTTGTTGAAATATTCACTGAGTAATTATCAGTTAAATATTTGTTAATTATGTGTTGAATATTCATCGACAATTTTTCTGTTGAATGTTTGTTAATTGTCTGTTGAATATTCATGAACAATTTTTCTGTTGAGTATATGTTTAGTAATTATCTGTTGAATATTCGTTGAATAATCGGAAAAGTGAATCCACAATCAGGTGGAATGGACAGTGACACACTCTCCTGTGATCATCACAAACAAACTGCAGAAAATGTACAGTATTGCCAGAAGTGAGAGAGATGTGTACTTGCACAAGTTGTAAGGACATTATGGACGCTCTGTTCCTATTTTTATCGCAGAAATAAATCAAGCGTTTCATTTAACATATTAGACATATTATAGTAAGTTAGTCATTCATTGATATACTGATGTTATTATAACTTCATCTTTATCAATTATGAACTTTTGTTGAGGTGAATATGTGTTCACATGGACCTGAGGAGCCGATATCAAACAAGAGAAGTCAGGGTTCATATCACTTTTGTCAGGTCCATATAAACACATATTCAATGAAATAAAATTAATATCTAAATTAGACATGAAATTATAATGTTATGTTTTTAATAAACAAGATGGTACTGCAATTGTCAGAGAAGATTGTGATGTCGGAGGTCATTCGTTACTTAAAGCACTTGTCATTACCTCATCCCAGTATTTATAAGCAGAAACAATAAACTGCCTACTCTGATTGATATTGTCTGATCATTCGAACAGATGATTGTTTCAAACGGAACAACTGATTGATATACAGATTGTAATCTGTTCAAAATATATCTAGACACAAAATTTATACTATTGACTCAATGGTATTCCGTCTTTGGTATTGCTGAGTTATCTGCTCTTGTGAGCAGGTATTGATTGTTACCTCATTAGTTTGTGTGAGAAAATTACGTTCTTTTCTCAAAATATTATGACATTACTGTCACAAAAAGATGACGAAACAACCAATACCTGCTCACAAGAGCAGATAACTCTGCAATACGAAAAGATGGAATTGACTCGGTTCAATATGTGTAAGATATTCTTTGACTTGGTTAATTTCACATCGAACAATGTTAATGTACAGCTTTATCACGCTGTTATATATATGTAGACACAACCTTACGCTACCGTGTATGTAAAATATTCATCCGTATGATATTAAAACGTTTTAAACTTTGTTTTGTCTCCATCTTGTGTGTACGTTTTAGTACTCCATCGGTTCCCCAGGGGTACTACAGATTTGCACTATGTCCGTCCAAAGATTTGTCGAGGGCATATATTTTTTACTATTTCACCAGGAGCAACCAGATTTGGTATGCACGTACACCTTGGGATGGCTGAGTGACAAGTACAAAAACCAGGTCACTGTGACCTATGATTTGACCTTTGACTTAATCCTTTCAAAAAGTTTGATTGGGACATATCTTCTATACTTTTCACCTGGAGTAACCAAGTATGTCTTGGCTGGCGGACTACTGGGAGTACATGTAGCTGTGACCTTTATCATCAGATATGAGTAAAGCACCGTTAATAAAGAAATATTTACCAGTAAGGCAATGTGTTTGCAGTGCACTACTTTTCCCTGTTTTGTGTGGATTGCCTCCCTTATGGTGCTGGTGTAATGATTCGTAGTTTCAAGCTGTGCATTGGTAACCGCATCGGTATATGAAGACGATTTCCAAAGATGGGGCCTCTGGAGAGCCAGTTTAAACTTCCATCTAACTTGAATTCCACAGATTGTCTCCCTAGGTACATTTCATGAGCTCGAAGTCGGATGTTCAAGTTCTACATCAGCCATTTAAAGACCGTGCCAGAATGGGCTAATCATTGGCCGCGTTAAAGTGATATCTCACCAAAATGTCATTACATTGGGTATGGCGGTATATATCACACCTTGTCGCGCTGTTCAGAAGACAGGTTTGCGAAAGATGCATTGGGAGACATCACTGATAGAAATATTACGCAAAAGAGAGGAAAGGGAAGTCATAGCAACTACCACCTCAGCGTTTTAGAGTAGCTTATTCTAGCTAGATAGGGGGCTTTATCAAATGATATATATTTATTTAAGCAATGTACCTTATAGGACCATACCATATTTACATTTTGATTAAGTAGTGTTACACTTTATCAGAGACGTATAAAGCCATATAGTATAAAGTGTTATATACGTCTCTGACTTTATTGAGTTTTTTCGAACAGTTCTTTGAAAATTCAAGGCTGGACAGCAATGAAATTGATGACTTCACAATAGCAAATGTTATAGTCTCACAACAACACTTGCCTTCTCAGTGCATTGCAATGGAAGGATGCAGAGCTAATGTAAATATTAATTATTATTTCATAATGCCAATTTCGTCCTTTCCTGTCCTCAGAAAAAACGCATAGCAAAAATATTGCGCAGTTTTGAAATCTCGTATAATTCGCCTCTGATGGTCACGAAATAGGATACGGGATGTTAATCGTAACCCTCGGGGCACTATTTATAACGTATCAAACTTGGGTTCACGAAACAGGACAAATATTGCCTCGGGCATTGTAGAATCAATTTGAGCAATAAATTAACTAAACTTCAGTAGTTTCGATGTCACTACCCCGTTCTGCGCATTGAGGAGGAAACATTACTGTTGAAGAGGAAACCTTACCGTTGAAGAGTAAACATTACCGTTGAAGAGGAAACATTACCCGTCGAAGAGGAAACATTACCCGCTGAAGAGGAAACATTACTCGTTGAAGAGGAAACATTACCGTTGAAGAGGAAACATTACCCGTTGAAGAGGAAACATTACTTGAATTTGACCTAGAATATTAACATTGTGGGTATCGTCGATAAAGCTGAAGACGCTTATCTTCCGGAACACTTGGTCGCGTTCACCTTGTACTGGTTCAAATGTATGCATGTACATTTTGTGTTAATATTTTGCCCAAGTTTTACCGACTTTTAGTTCGAATAACGGGTTTGTTGACACTTCCTATAATGCGGAGACACTTGGCATTACCGAAACGTTTGGGTCGCTGTAATTATTTTTAGTTATTGGCTTCCTAGAGAGAGCTTACAGCAATTATGTATAAACTTTATTTCTTTTCATTGGAGCAAAATACCTATCTACAATTTGAAAACAAATGGAAAAGGATCCGGAAAAAGGTACAAAAACTTATATAATTCCGTTTCCTGATGGTGGCCAAACTTTTGCATGGTGGACGGTATACAGTATACAACGATTTGGAACCGGTTCAGATTTAAATCTGTGGAGTAAATCTACACACGTGAAATAATTTTATGAAATTTGCACAGATCGATGTTGCAATTATGCTCTTTTACTTATAAAACTTGCACAAAATATATTTCAGCTTAATGGAAAATTTAACACTTTGCCTTTTAAGCAATTAATAATAGGTAAATCATTTATTGTGTTCGATTTGGGGAAAAAACCAAATGCTGCTTTAAAGTATTTTGATTCAAGGGATTCCTTGTTTGCTTCTTTCATTTTTTAAAAACCCACATAAATTGGTAGGTTGATGCTATTCATATCGGCAATACGATTCATCTGTTCTGCACGAACAATGCACGTACAAAACGTTTTAATACGTACATTGTTTGTGTATAAAGTAAAACTTTGATATAAATGTTTCATTCATGTTTAGATATATATTCTGAAATATGTTAATATAAAAGAAAACATCTCATACTTTTTTTTTTAATTTCTAAATTTCAACATGGTATTTGTGACTCAATATTTAATCTAGAGTTAGATACAATGAACACACATCATAATTGAAAGTTGCATAATTCGTTATCATACTTGAATAGAAATCAGTCCATTTATGGCTTGATTTATAAGGAAATTAAAACCATTGAGAAAAAGAATTCATGTTATGCTGTCAAAAATCCGTCTTTTCTTTTGAGATTTACGAAATGTCTTATGTCAATTCAACATACATCTACAGGTTAGATTAATGTTGGTGTAAACTGACAAAGCATTGCTTTCATATCATTCACCCTGAAGACACATTAGAATCCGAAACTGCAAAGTTGATATCAAAGTTGATAATGAAATTCTCCTTGTTATAAAACAGTATATTTACAAAATGCGATGCTTTCACAACTCCCTCAACATCAATGGACTTATTAATGCATTAAGACAATTTTACGACTTGCAAAACTTTATTGCTAACAGCAATGGGGAAGCTGCCAGGATTTTTTTTGAAAAAGATTGGAAAAAATGGGGAAAATTTATCGAGTTGTAATTTTATAGTCTAGCTCTCTTCTCTTCAATGCCGTACAGTGCTTGCTGATTTCTTTCAAAATTAATCAGCTGTTAATATTTACTGCTTCCGTACTGCTGGAATGGTTCATTATGACTTCCAGAGGTGAAATGAGTTAATCTGACAGGCAGAAGTTTGAGCATATACATTTATGTCGCAGTTGCTGTATGTAGGTATATTGGGCATTGTTGTAACATTGGGTATTAGTTAGTTTAAATTTTATTTTATGGTCGTTAAAATATTTCAGTAATACAAACATGATATCTATACACAATACATCTCCAGCACACACGCAGTCATACACACATAGGGAGATCTTAGCCAGGTGGCATAGGACAAGTAGTTAGCGCCTGATAAGGCAGCTCCCGCGAATTCCTCAAAATTGTATATCCTTATTGTATTAATTGTATATCTATGCACTGTCAAGCGCTTTAGAGTGGTTTATGTTAGCTGATAGGACGCTATATCAAATGTTGTATATTATTATTTTATAGGATTCGAAAATAGGTAAAAAGTACTTATGTTAATTCATTGGGAATTTCTGTGTGAATAAAGATTCAGAGTATTATTGAGTAATGTAGCAGATGACTTTGGGCAGAGAACAGAGAAGTAAGCCTCAAGTTCTGTAGGAAACTTCGTGCTGAGCAAGTCTTAGGACACGGTATGAGTGACAGACGAACGGAACACACACACTAAGGACACGGTATGAGTGACAGACGAACGAAACACACACACATAGGACACGGTATGAGTGACAGACGAACGGAACACACACTAAGGACACGGTATGAGTGACAGACGAACGGAACACACACACTTAGGACACGGTATGAGTGACAGACGAACGGAACACACACACATAGGACACGGTATGAGTGACAGACGAACAGAACACACACACTAAGGACACGGTATGAGTGACAGACGAACGGAACACCCACTAAGGACACGGTATGAGTGACAGACCAACGAAACACACACACATAGGACACGGTATGAGTGAGAGACGAACGGAACACACACTAAGGACACGGTATGAGTGACAGACGAACGGACCACCCACACACTTAGGACACGGTATGAGTGAAAGACGAACGGCACACACACCCTTAGGACACGGTATGAGTGACATACGAACGTAACACACACACTTAGGACACGGTACGAGTGACAGACGAACGGAACACACACACTTAGGACACGGTATGAGGGACAGAAGAACGGAACACACACACCCTTTGGACACGGTATGAGTGACAGAAGAACGTAACTCACACACTTAGGACACGGTATGAGAGACATACGAACGTAACACACACACGTTGGACACGGTATGAGTGACAGACGAACACAACCCACACACACTTAGGACACGGTACACTTTGGACACGGTATGAGTGAAAGACGAACGGAACACACACACATAGGACACGGTATGAGTGACATACGAACGGAACACACACACATAGGACACGGTATGAGTGACAGACGAACTAAACACACACACTTAGGACACGGTATGAGTGACAGACGAACGGAACACACACACATAGGACACGGTATGAGTGACAGACGAACGTAACACACACTTTGGACACGGAATGAGAGACAGAAGAACGGAACACACACACACTTTGGACACGGGATGAGTGAAAGACGAACGGAACACACACACATAGGACACGGTATGAGTGACATACGACCGGAACACACACACATAGGACACGGTATGAGTGACATACGAACGGAACACACACACCTAGGACACGGTATGAGTGACAGACGAACTAAACACACACACTTAGGACACGGTATGATTGACAGACGAACGAAACACACACACTTTGGACACAATATGAGTGACAGCCGAACGGAACAATGACACTTAGGACACGGTATGAGTGACAGAAGAACG